CAAGGTCATTTAGTAAGTGGTAGAGCCAGGATTTGAACTGGCAGAGATGAAGTTAAGAGGCTCCAAGCCTGTAGGAATAGCATGCACAAATGCCCAGGGGTTTTCGAAAAGAATATGTACTGAGGTTTGGCTGAAGCAGAGCCACGTGCAAGGGGTGAGAAATGAGAGGCAAGAAAAACGGGTGCTAGACTGTGCAGTACTTGAAGGTCAGCACAAGGACTCTGGCCAGTTTAACAAGGCCTTGGGGGGCCATTGCAGGATGTGTTTGCATGAGCAGATCTGTCCTTCCGAAAGATTAATTGGTCGGCCATGTAGAGGGCAAATGAGAGTTGGAGGAGAGACCAAGTTGGAGGTGATACAGAAAGCCAGAACCTCTAGGACCTGAACCAAGGCTCAGGGTTGGCAGCAGTGGGAGAGGGGAGGGTGAAAATGCAGGAAGCATCTACAGTCTCCAGACTTCTCCCTTAGCACCCCCATCCTGATTATACTCACCAGTTTCTGGTGTGATCTGTTGTCCAGTGTCTCCTTCAGCTGACCAAATGTTGTGAGAGCAAGTGCTGGGACTCCCTCATTCCCTGCCACAGCCCCAGTGTCCAGAACAGTGTCTGGCAGAGAGTAGGTGTTCAAAGAATATTTGTAGTATGAGTAAGTGATTGAATGAATGAATGAATGAGGAATTCACCGACTCTGGAGTTTTCAGTTGAGGCAATTGGAACAAGGCATGCTGGAGAAAACCATGGCAGGGGGGAAGGATGAGATTGATCATTGGGCAGATTGAATTTGAGACTATACCTGTGAAAATATCCAGCAGAGAGTTAAATGTGCAGCTTTGGGAGAGAGAGAGATCTGTGGCTAAAGAGAGGCACTAAACCAATGGGAATAGATGAGATTCCCAAGGGAGACAGTGGGGGAGAAAGGAGCAGCGGGAAGGGAAGGAGTGGGAGAGTTTGCTTAGAGAACATCTACATTTTAAAAGAAAGGAAAGGAGTCAGCAAAGAAGAGAGAGAAGACCTATCTGAGAAGTAGAAGAGAGATCACAAGAGTGCTGTGTCATAGAATTCAGGAGGAGATTCAAGAAGGCTGAAAAAAGTGGGGGGAAGAAGTCATCATCTGGATCTGCTACAGAGGGATGGAGGAGGAGCAGGGCTGTGAAAATATGCATGGGTATGACTTTTGGGAAACCTCTGGTGACTCTGACTAGGGCAGTGGTGGTGGTGGCACAGAGGCAAGAGACCACTGGTCTCACAGAGTGGAAGGGCTTGACTGGCAGGTGAGGAAGTGAAGACACCAAGTGGAGATCCCTTTATCACAAAGTTAAGGGCAGAAATTAAGGGAAATGCAGGGCTCAGGGAAGAAGTTGAAGAAAGGAGGGGATAAAAGAGACCTATGGAGAGGAGATTGAAGCTGTGAGGAAGAGGGAGGGATGAATGGATTGAGGAGGAGGTGTAAAGAGAGAAAATCCATAGCACAGGCAGATGGATTGGCTTCAGCTGGAAGGAGGGGGACTTCTTTCTTGGGAGCTAGGAGGAGGGGAGGTTATACAGCTCACACTAGCTGGTGTTAACCGTTTTGATAATAATAGTTCACCATTTACTGAGCACCCACCATGTGCCAAACACATCTCATAGATTATTTCCAACCCTTCAAAGTGGTATTATAATCCTGACTTTATAAAGAAGACCAAGACTCAAAGAGATTAAGTCAACTACCCACTATCACACAACTAAAAAGTGGCAGATTCAGGATCTGAGTCAGGTGCACCTGACCCCAGAGCTCACGCCCTTCCAAGTGCACCACAGGGAGTATGTGGAAAGTAACCTGCTAAGAGGGAAGGGGTAGGGGTAGATTGGGCCTTGAGAAATGGAGAATTGGTTAGGAGAGGGAGTCTTGACAGAAGGAACAGGAGATTGCTTAACAGCTGAGAGAGTCACGCTGGAATTGGGCTGCAGGACTTTGGGGGTGGATCCAAGAAGCTCAGCTAAATAATCCCAGCAGTCTGAGTAAGAGCCACCTAGAGCTACAGGATGTAAGCATTGAGAAGACTCAGCCCTTGAGTAGATGTACTTTGCAAACTGTGGAAAGAGTGGCAGTGGTAATCAATGTTTGCTGAATGAATTCATGAAAACAGAGGTCTAGAGAAGGAGATAGTTTGGTGATAGAGAGATAGCATGTTGAGTTTGAGTGGTGCCCATGAGACACCCAGGGTGAGGTGTTCAGGGGAAAGCAAATGTATCTCTTGACTTATTTATTGCCTATTTCCCTACACACACACACACACACACACACACACACACACACACACACACCCCTCAGAATGTAATCCACATGAGGGCAAGGCTTTGTCTTGTTCACTGTTCCCAGTGCCTAACACATCAATTGGCATCAATAGGTGCTCAATAAACACTTGTTGCATAAATGAATATAGGGATATGTAGCCCAGATAAGAGGTCTAGTGGACTAGTTGTCTTCAGTGTCAGTGGCCATTAAGGCCCTAGGATGGATGAGTTCCACCTCACCCCAGGGAAAAGTTAAAGAAGAAAAAGAGGCAGGGCTGAGGTTAGAGGCCTGGGGAAGAAGATCATGTAAGACACAGGAGGAAGAAGAAGAACCAGCAAAGGAAAAAGGGAAAGAGAGGAGAAGAGAAGAGAGAAGAGGAAGCAGTAGGGGATGGGAGGAGAGGGAAGAACTGAGTCACAGAACCAAGAGAGGAGTGGAGTGTGGGAACACAGTGGAGTGGTCAGCAGTTTTAAAAGCTGCAGGACTGCTCCAACAGAAGCACTGGGGAAAAGGCCTGGAAGATCATCTGGTCCAGCAGAGGGACTTGCTAGAGTCACCCAGCAAGTTAGAGATGAGACTGCAACTAAAGCCCAGGTGTCCTGCCCACCAATTTGAAATATCTCAAATTAGAGTCCTGCATCCTCCACAACCACCTGCTCATTCCTTGAGATCCATGTAAACACAGAGTAGGAACCTAAGAGTTCCTGAAATCCCTTGATTATTAAATTATTCACTTCCTGTTCTTAGAAATGAAGTCTTTTCACAAGGTCTTAAATCAAGTGAAAACATCTTAATTGACTGAACTAAGCAAAATTCAGACTCAGAATTCTGGGTCTGGGTGGGTTTCCTTGCACTTCCTGGAAAGCCTATTCCTGTTTGGCTCATCCCCACAAATTCGTAGTCAGCAGTGGCTAATGTTTTATGAGCTTCTGCTACACCCCAGGCACTTGACCAGTATCATTTCTTCTCCTTCAAACATCAGTACAAGGGTGGCTTTAATATGCCCCAATTTTGTAGGGAACAAACTGAAGCTTTCCCAGGGACCCACAGCCAGTAACAATGGCAGCCAGGATTTCAAATGAGGTGTGTCTGATGCCAAAGCCCCTGGTGATTTTTTTCTACTATTTCATGACTTTCTCTCCCCAAAACAACCTATCAGATGGTCTGATCATGTAGATAAGCTCCTGGGCCTCATATTATTTAAAAAAATCTTAGTCTGTCAGTAAGATTTTTCATTTTGAAAGAAATGAGGAAAATCCATCAACAAAGAGCCAGTGACCTTGAACTCAACCTGGTTGCAATATCCATCCTGGATTCTCTGCCACTATTTCCCCGGACCTTTTTTTCCTTCTAGCAAATCATAAAGACCCCAAGGATGTGTGGGATTAAAGGGCCTTGGGGAGTCAGCCTGGCCATCAGCTGACCATCAAGCCACTTCACACTGGATAGCTCATGGATGTCCCCGTCCACACCCGAAGGACCTTTTTTTCCTTCTAGCAAATCATAAAGACCCCAAGGATGTGTGGGATTAAAGGGCCTTGGGGAGTCAGCCTGGCCGTCAGCTGACCATCAAGCCACTTCACACTGGATAGCTCATGGATGTCCCCGTCCACACCCGAAGGGAGATTTGTGGTGGCTTTGTCTGTTAAAGCACCAGTGAAGCTGAGCAGTTAAAATAAAAAGAAAATATCTAACATGTAGAGCATTGGGGTTCAAATTCTCAGGGGTGTGGGGAACACGGCAAGAAGGAAGCCGAGAACAAAGGTCCCAGGTCCTCTACCCACCCTCCCCCCACCACTAACACTGGAATAGTCCCACTTTCACATCTTTCCATATCAAGATTCCCATTAAGATTTTATTTGAACAAAATCTTCCGAGGTGAAAAAAGTAGCAATAAAAAATATAATAAAAACTGAAAGTCAGTGATTTAGGGAGAGGGGAAGGAGGACTAACACAATCTGAGTGCCTACACCGTCTGTGCTAGGAACTTAAAGGCCCTAAGCCCTAAGAATATTATAATGTTTCCAACAGTCCCACGTGTAATTCAAAATAAAAATCAGTATTAAGCCATAAACACAAAGCTTTCATGTATTCTGCAATAAAAAAAATAACTTATTTCTCCATTTGTCTAATTTTGAGACTGGATACGTTCATCCAAGCCGACTGTTCTCATTTTTTCCTCACACCTCTGATTTGCTGTGGCCATAAGCACATGCTCAGTCATTTTACAGGTTGATCCAGTGGCCCAGGCTGGATTCTCTCCAATCCCTACAGTAGTCTTGGGAAAGGAGACATTGCCATTTCTACCTTATAGAGGAGGAAACTTGGCCGGCTTGAGGAGGTTAGTAACTTGCTGAAGGTCACATGGCAAATAATCAGTGAGGTTGGCATTACAACTCAGCTCTGCCTAACTCCAAATTCCAGGCTCTGTCCATGACTCCCGGCTTCAATCATATTAGAACAATAAGGCCAAGATGAAGGTTCTAAAATAGGGATCAGAAGCTACTTAGCAGCACTTACTCACAGGTGTCTGGCACATACATAGCAAGTGCTCAGTAAATAGCCCCATTCCATCTCCTTTCCCCTCAGCACCAAGGCATTGGGTCTTGGCCTCAGACTGATGGTGCTGGTGTCTAAACCAGGGTGAGGTCGCTGTCCGTCTAACTCCACCATCCGGCCGTGCAGAGACCTCTCCCATCCGACCCCCAACTCCTCTTCTGCAGGTTGGCACATCGCCCCGAGCCAGGCCAGCCAGGAGCGCTGCATGCAAATTCCGCCTTATTCTAGGGCAAGCTAACCAGAGCCAGCGGCATGGACTTCGTCATGAAGCAAGCCCTCGGAGGTGAGCCCCGCGCCCCGCACCGCCCTCCGCGACCCGGTCCCGACCCGTATGGGAGGGGCATCAGCCCACCCGGCCCCCAGCTGACTTCGCCCTCTCTCTCCCGGCGCCATTTCCGCAGGGGCCACCAAGGACATGGGGAAGATGCTGGGAGGCGAGGAGGAGAAGGACCCCGACGCGCAGAAGAAGGAGGAGGAGCGGCAGGAGGCCCTGCGGCAGCAGGAGGAGGAGCGCAAAGCCAAGCACGCGCGCATGGAGGCCGAGCGCGAGAAGGTCCGGCAGCAGATCCGAGACAAGGTCAGCAACCTCCGGCCCGCCTCGGAGGGTAGAGGGCACGAGGCCCCCGGGACCCCGGCCTCGGGCTCCCTAAATCCCAGCTCTCCCCTTAGACCTCACTCTCTCTGAGCCTCACTCTTCTCATCAGAAAAATGCATGCTACAGGAACACCTCCCTCCAAGGACGGTCATGGGGATTAAATAGGATAATGCACAGAGCAAGTGCTCCGTAATGCTTGCTGCTACGGGTCCGCCGTCTCGTGCCCGAGACCCTTGGGACCAAATATGTGTGGAATTCAGAATCTGGGAATATTAGAAAAATACTACAGTGCCCTGAGCACCTGGTACTGTTAGGTGTCACTCCCAGGGAGCGGTTCTGGGGCTGCCGCCCAGTACCAAACAGGTCAATGCATCTGGAAGCCGCACGCCATAAATCGAGGACACCTATCGGTGGTCTTCCACTGGTTCAAGTCAGATTTGTTACCAAACTTTGGCTCCAAATATACAGGAAATCTTTCAGTGTTCAGATCTTTGGATATTTCAAAAGAGCAAGAAGTTATTATGAGCAGGTATTAATTTTAAGGGAAGCCCCACGCTTGGTCTCGCTCTGATTAAGTGCTGAGGACCAGGCACAATCCCACAAGGAAGGTACCTTTATCCCCACCTTACAGATGAGGAGACTGAGGCTCATGAGAGCTTCCTGAGCCTCCCCAGCCACGTCTGCATGATCTTGAGACCCAGCTCTCTCCTTGTCTTCCCCCCTTACCCGGCAGTACGGGCTAAAGAAGAAGGAGGAGAAGGAAGCCGAGGAGAAGGCAGCCCTGGAGCAACCCTGTGAGGGAAGCCTGACCCGGCCCAAGAAGGCAATCCCTGCAGGCTGTGGGGACGAGGAGGAGGAGGAAGAGGAGAGCATCCTGGACACGGTGCTCAAATACCTGCCTGGGCCACTGCAGGACATGTTCAAGAAGTAACCGGCCTCCTGCCCCCTCCCCACTCCACTTGTTACTATTTTTTTTGTTGTTGTTCTTTCTTTTCTTTTAATTCCGTTAAGTCTCAGTTCTGAAGGGGAAAACCTCAGTTGGCCTCTGCCCCCCTTCCCTGGCCAGGGGCTCCTCCCCCTCAGCTCTCCCTGACACCTCCCCTTCATCCCAGGGTATCCAGCCCCAGCCCAATCCCAAGTAGCTTGAAAAGAAGACAGCTTTTCCCCAGCAGGGGGCCTTGAACCTGGGGCCGAAGGCACTGGGGTCCCCTCAGGAAGCCTAAGACCTATGCTAGTATGATAACCCCCATACATTCCTTCATGCTCCCCACTGCCAGGAGGACCACTGTCCCCAGCCAGCCAAAGTAATGAAACATTCCAGCCCTGCCCAGCATGCTGACCTTTGGCCTCTGACCACCAGTGGGCCTCAGGTCAGGGCAGGGGCACAGAGTGGCCTGGCTCTGAGAGAGTTAGGGTAAGCCCGCCCTGTGAGGACCCAGCCTGAGAGGCCCCGGGTCTAGCCAGGCTAGGGTCTAGACAGGAGGCTGGGGCTCTCCTTCTTCCCTCTTCCTGTTGACACCCAGCCCAGGAGCACCTCTTCCCCAATTCCCACCCAGAGAGGGATGTCCCCTGCCAAGCTGGTCCCTCCAAATGGATCCTCTTTGGACTTTAGCTCATCTATGGAGGAGCCCCAGAGTAGGGGCAGCCCCTTGTTCCCCCCTCCCCACCCCACTTAGTTCCTGGGACCCCACTGCCAGGTTGGGTCCAGGTTGCCCAGCCAAGGGGCTGCCCAGGCCCCCAGAAAACACTTGGAGCCATCGGGCAGCAATGGTCTATACCATGGGACCCCCCCTATTGGTGTGGCCAAGCTGCCCCCATTCCTATCCACCCCTTTTCCCCACCATGTCTTGTCCATGTGCTTCCAGGGCCCCATGGTCCCCAAGAGGACCCTTCCTGGCCAAAGCCCCAAGCCTTTGGGGAGAAGCCAATTCCCACTTGAGACACTGGCCAAGAACAAACTGTCCTCTGGGATGTATGGGACTGGCATTTCTCACCCCCCCTCCCCATCCTAAATTGCCAAGGCTTCCTGCTCAGTCAGTTGTGTGAGAATGGGGTGGGGTGGGGTGGGGGTGGGGAGGGGGAGGGCAAATGAAGGTGGGAAGTGTGTGTCCATGCACGCATGCCAGTGCGCACAGAGACTGCATCAGTGGTTGTGTGTCCAGACAATGTACACATGTGTGTGCTTAGGGGGTGTGTGTCTCATTGTGTACGTTAGTCATCATATCTCTGTGTTAGAGATTGCGTATGTCAGGCAGCCTTGCGTATGTGTTTGAAGTGGTGAGTTTGAGCTGAGATTGTGTCATACGTGAGTGCTAGCCATCTCATGTGTGTTTAGAGATTGCACGTGTTAGCTTGAATATGCATGTGTTTTCAAAATGGCATGTGTGTCAGGAGCGATAAGCATGTGTTAGATGTTGTAGACGTGTGTGTTTGAGAGAATTGTCACATGTACTTAGGCTGCTGTGTGCATGTGTGTGGGTCTGAAAAGGCAGCTGTGTGCATGGACATGTGCTTGGGGAGAAAAAACATGGGTAAGATGCCCCCTCCCAGCCCTGAGACCATTGCTCACAGGTGGCCACATCTCACAGGAGACCTTGTCCTTGGCCTAGAGTCCTCTCACCCTTGGGGGGTTCCTGCCTGAGGACCTCAGAATTTCACTGAGACAGACCCAGGCAGCACCCCAGGAAGCCATGCTGGGCCCCAACCAGGGCCTATCTCAAAAGCAGGGACTAGGGAGGGGGGCGACTTGCCTTCCCCTGAAGCCCCTGCCCTATTGGCCCCAGTTTGCATTCTGCGGGTTTTCCATTTTAGTGGATTTATGCTTTTATTTCAGAGAGAGACATGTGTCTTCTCTGTCCGTTTCCAATAGTTAAAGCCATATCAGTTAGACTGCAATACTTTTAAGATGAGACAAAACAATCCATATGTTTAGTGAACCAGAAAAGTCCCCAGGTCTGTCCCTTCTCTGGGGAGCAGGGCCTCAGCAGCTCCAGCTCCCTGGACTTACCCTCGTCCCCCGCCCCCTCCCCTTGTGCCCCTTGCGCCCCGGTGTCCCACCCTCCAGGGACCTGTGTCCGTGTCTGTGCCTGTGTCTATGATGGGGAGCCACCTTGCACCCTGTTGTCTGCTTGTCTGTGTCTGTTATCCTGGGCAGGATGGTCATTCTCAAGAGCCATGGGGTCCTGGGCCAGAGACAGACAAGGCCCCATCCAGGGGTCCCCAAGTCTCCTAGACCCCATGTGTGAGCCCCACTTTGACACAGGGGTGGACACCAAGTGTTTAGAGAAGTCTCCCCCTTGACAGGGGCCCCTGGACCTCGAAGGTGATGCCAGGGCACAGAGAGTGCCAGATGGGTAGCAGAGACCAAGGCCCAGGGTGCTTCAGATAGGCAAGGAAACTCAGCCATACAGATACCCCAGGTGAGCCTGAGGGATCCCAGACCCTCAGAAGGTATCCCTGGTCTTCTCCGCAGCCCCTCTGGGCTCCCAGAGTGGGCTCAGGGCTTTTCAGCGCCATCCCAGTGCCCTCCAGCTGGCTGGCTTAGTCCAGGTACACATCTTGGACTCTTTCCTTCTGCTCCTGGGCAGCAGGGCTTGAGGTCTTCCTGGACGCAGGGGCAGGGAGAGAATTTCTGCCGGGCACATACCTGACTCCAACCACCATCAAGAGATAACTCTCAGGTCCAGGGGGACACAATGACTGTCATTTCTGACATGGACCTGACTGGGGAGAATTTATGTGTGGCCCAGAGAGGATGCATGTGTGCCAATACACTGGTGGGGGACAAAATGCATGCAGGGTGCTCTAGCAGGGAAAGGGGTGGACCTTGGACATGAGGTATATATGACCCACTGGATGGGAGGGGAATGAGTGTGTCACACACAAGTGGGACAGTGTGCATGTGACACATTTAGGGGAGGAGAGGCCCTAGAATTCAACCCACACACAGCACATAAGAAACAATCCCCAGCTGGGGGAATAGGGAGAAGTGGTCATATGTATTTGGGTGAAAACAGAGTGAGACAGGAGGAGGTGTGGACCACCCCTCCCCCCCCCACATGGGCATGTGTGCTTGCTGGGAAGGCCCCCAGGCTCCTGTGCCTGGGATTCACTGCCAGAGAGGAGAAAGAGGGAGTCTCTGGATCTCCCTGTGCTAGGCACTGGTGATGGGCCGGGATTTCCAAACGTGGACGTCGTCCACTCCAGGTCCAGGAGCTTCTGGAAGGTGTCCTTAACTGCAAAGCTGTGTTGGGTGCTCCTCCAAATGAAAGTGGGAAGTGAAGAGGCCCTCCCAGATTGTGTGTGGGAGAGAGAAAGAGAACGGGAAAGAAAGACAGGTGTTGCAGTCTAGGCCCTCTCAGGTGAGGCAGCTGGTGAGCAAAGCAGCCCCTCTGAAAGGCTGTGGCCAGAGTAAATGGGGACTCCCCATCCCTAAGAGCCCCCGGCACCCAGCTGGCAGGGTGCCCAGCCCTGCTACCCACCTGCCCCATCCTTCTCTGGTTTCACAGTCCCCTGACTGCACAGGGAGGCAGGGGGTGAGGGTCAGACAGTCTCAGATGGGCGTTGTTTCCCAGGCCTGAGCACATGCTTCCCACCAAATGTCCCCTGCTCCAGTCCCCACTCCTGTTGCCCTACCCTCTTCACTGGGGAGAGAACAGGAGGTACTCGTGCTGGCCCTGGGGTGGGAGTGGGGAGTCCTAGCAAGACCCAGGCGAGACTGACCATCCTGCTCACGCGGGGGAACTCCTTTCCTACATTTGTGACGTGTCCTTGTTGCGCTGCTTCCTTTAAATGTGTCAGTGCCTGGGGGGAGGGGAGGGGAACCACCTCAAACCCCCCTGAACCTGACCAAAAGCCATGGCTGTTGCTCCCCCCTTTGTATGACACAAAGGCTACCATGTACAAAACCAACCATGACAACAAAGGAAAAGACCTTGTACAGCAGCTCTCGGTCTGTCCTCTTCTGTTCGTTGGCACCACCAGGGCTAAACAGGGGCACCAACTCACCACTGAGGGAGGACAACCCACTAAAGCTCAAGAGGCCCCAGGAAATCTTCAGTTTTACCTTGGCTTCTGACCAGGACACTGTAGAAATGACTCCACAAATCAACCAAGGCCAGAGGCAGGGCTGGCCCCAGAGTTCCAGGATCACTCCACCTCCCTGCCTTCCAAAACCACCTCTGCCACCGCAGGGGCCAGGGGGCCAGACTAACTCCCTCAATCTCTGGCCACCCTTCCCCACAAGCTCCTCAGGGTGTGGCATCCTGAGAATCCCACCAAGTCATATGGGTGGGCAAAGGAATCCTTTAATCCACAGACACTGATGGAGTATCTACTCTTTGCCAGGCCATGTGCTGGAGGCTGGAGACAGAGGATACCATTCAGCATTCTCCCTGGACACAGACACCTACCTCCCAGGCCTTGTTGAGGAGTCAGGACCTACCAGAACCACCCTCCACCCTGGCCCCACCTATACCCTGCCTTAAGTCAGCCCCCATTTCTCTCAGCTTGTCTAGCCACTTCCCACTGCACACATTGATCTCCCAGCCTCTACCCCTTCCTTCCCTTCCATCCGTCCTCTCCCCACCACCCCATCCCTGCCAAGAAGACTCACCTAAAATGCAAACTTCACCATGTCACTCCCTGCCCAACACCCTCCATTGTCTGTAGGATGGCATCTTTCTACAGGATAACATGCCAATTTTCAAAAGGGTCCTGTGTGATATGACCCCAGCCTGCAGATCAGACCCACATCCACATCTATGCTCCAAGAGCCCTCAGTCCCCACACATTCCATGCTGTTTCATGTTTGCATATTCTGTCCCCTCTGCTTGGAATGAATGGTACCCTTCCCCTCCTTAATGTATTCCTCTAACTTCTCAAGATCCAGCTCAAATGTCACCTCCTCTGGGAAGCCCACCCTGACACAGCCCCCAGTCCCCCTGACCAAAGCAGAGTGTGTTGCTGTGCTCACACAACACAGAGCATTACAGCTGAGTGTTCAAACAGTGCTGGGTGTGCATATGGGCTCTGTCACCCAGCAGAGCAATCTTCAGCAAGCCACTTAATCCCTCCAAGTGTTTGCTCTCAAGTACAATGGGATGATAATAATTGCTTTGCCCTCCAAGGTTATTGTGAGGAGTAAATGGGGTCCTGCATGCACACTCTTAGCACCACGTGAGTGTGCTATGAGGTATTCAATGAATGGTGCTTTGCATATTCTATCATAAGTTATGTTGCTACAAATCTCCCTCCCTAACCTAGGAGCTCTGTAAAGTCAGGGCTGGCTTGTGCCCTGATCCTTCCCTGTCATCTGGCACAGGGTCTGGCCCACAGTGGACTCTCAGGAACCCCAGTGCTGATTCAGAACCCAAGAGATCAGTCTCTGGTCCATCTACTTGGTGGCCACAGTCACTTTTCTCTTTTGCACCTACCAAACAATGTGGGGAGGGGTGAAGACCCTGACCCTCTCTCTTCTCTGCCCTGACATCACCCCTCCTGCCTGTTCTGCCAGACCTGCCCATGACTGGGTCAGTGCAGTATGGGTAGCAGGTCCCCTGGACTCTGAGTCACAGGGAGCCCTGTGTGCAACAGGAGGCTGTGTTAGTAATTGATTGCTACATAACAAACTACCACAAACTTGACAGCTTAAAACAACACATATTTACTATTTCAGTTTCTGTGGGTCGAGAGTCCAGGCACACTTTCACTGGGTCCTCTGCTTCAGAATCTCTCATGAGGCTACAGTCAAGGTGCAGGATGGGGCTGGGGTCTCATCAGAAGGCTCGTCTGGGCAAGGATCACTTCCAATCTCACATGGTTGCTGGCAGGATGCAGTCACTGTTGGACTGAGGGTCTCAGTTACTTGCCTGAGTTCCTTGGCTGTATGCCGTCCTCTGTTCCTTGCCATGTGAGCACCTCCCTTGGGGCAGCTCGCAATGTGGCAGCTTCATTGAAGTGTGCAAGCCAAGAAGGTGATAGATTTTGCTAGCATTCATGGAAGCCATTTCCCATTACCTTTGCCATAGTCTATTGGTTAGAAATAAGTGACAGGACCTTCCCACACTTATGGAGAGGGGATTACACAAGGGTGTGAATATCAGACGGGGGAATCACTGGGGACATCTTAGAGGTTGCCCACCACAGAGGCTGAGGCAGAATTTCTCCTTCCTCACAAAGCACTAGAGTTGAGCAGGGCCTCAGAGGAGCAAGAGCCCCAAACCTCTTCAGCCACAGGGTCCCAGGTGGTGGAGGATGTGTCTCAGAGCAGGGGCAACAGCCAATGGCAATGGCAGACTCCCCCGGGTCATCTGCAACACTAGGTCATTTCCCAGAGTCATGGGCTAGGCTCTGAGGACATTCCAAGGCTGAAGAAGGGTCCCAGGTGGTGGAGGATGTGTCTCAGAGCAGGGGCAACAGCCAAGGGCAATGGCAGACTCCCCCGGGTCATCTGCAACACTAGGTCATTTCCCAGAGTCATGGGCTAGGCTCTGAGGACATTCCAAGGCTGAAGACTAGAGAGAAAGAGAACATGAAGGCTTCAGGCCTCCCTGAGAACACATCTATGTGCTCCGCCCAGCACCCCAGGCACTGCTCTCCCAAGACCCAGGTCCCTACTCCATAGACAAACCAGCCTGGGACACTTGGATGCTTCTCCTCAGCTCTCTTCTCTTCTTGCCACTCAGTGGATCTCAATGTGCCCTGTGCCCTGGTCAGTAAATATAAGCATCCTCTCATTTTTAGTCCTAAAGGTCTTCTCCTAAAAGTCTTAATCTCTCAGTTAAATAAGTACTCATTGTGCCTCTACCATGTGCTAGGCTCTGTACTAGGCACCAAGCATACCAATCACACAGCCCCTTCCATCCAGAAATCTACCCGATAATGGAGGACACAGGTGGATAAACAGACCAATTACCTGCCGCAACATGTGCAATGATGCAGGTAAATGCAGGCACTTGGTGAAGGAGGAGGTGACATTTGAGATTAGTCTTAGGTGGGGAAGAGTTGGTCTGATGGGGAAGGAGGGCACTCAAACAGAGGGGCTGGCATGAGAGCAAAGGCATGGAGGAGACAAAAGTAGTACGACCTGGGTTGTGGGAATAGGAGGAAGAAAAGGACATCTGCAGGAACTTACTAAGCTCTTGTGAAAGGCAGAGAGGCCGGAGATGTCAATCAGGGTGCCAAGAGGTGGAGCTAGGGTTCACCCTGAAATCAATAGGGAGCCACTGAGGGGTACTGAGCAGAGGTGTGGCATGATCAGATGTGCATATTGAGCAAGATCAGTCTGGGTGGTAGAATGAACTAGGAGTTAGAGGCTGGAAGCTGGGAGAACAGGAAGGAGCAAGTGTAATATCAAGGTCAGAGATGCTGAGGCCTGACCTCAGGCAGTGGTGAATGGCTGGGGTGAAGGGGGCAGATTGAAGGGATTTGGAGGGCAAATTGGTAGAACTTGAGGGTTGGATGTAGGAGGCATGGAGGGAGGGAGGGGTCTAGGCCAATGCTTGTGCATCCATCTTGGGTAGTACCATTCTCCAAGATCTGGAACACTGCTTGGGGACAGGTTTGGAGGAAGATCATGAGTTTGGTTTGGGACATCTGAGTTTGAGATGCCAGAGGAGAGGCCAGTGGGCAGTCTGTGCTCCACGCTGGCTCACACGGAAGAAGCACAAACATCCCTTTGCGTGGGCTAGCCCCAAAATGGAGTGATGACTTGACCATGGACTTCACCACAGGGTCCAAGCACAGAAAATCAAGAAAGCTGGAGTAGGAAGGGGATTTAAGATCAAATCCATCTTCCCATGCAACCCAAGAATCCCTTCTGTGCCATCTTTGGTAGAGGGCACTGTCCTGTTTGCATTCCCCACAGTGTTGGTAAGCTCATTGTAGTCCAACAGCTTCCCTTTCTCCTAAACCAAAAGCTGCTGGGAAGCAGGGGGTTAATGAAGCCTCCTCCAGTATCTCTTTAATTGACTGCACAACCCTGCTTCCAGACCACTCACTTAGCACTTGTAATTAATTGGGGCTTCTTGCCTGATCTGAGAGATGATTTGATACCCCCTGAGGACAGTTTTCTCAGCTGGGATCCCCCAGCTGGAGACGTCCCCACACACCCAGCCTCTCCACGGGCACCGACCTGGGTGTGAATGCAAACTGCAGCCCTTCTCTCCATGTAAGCTCAGGCAGGGCACTTCCCAGCTCCAAGCATAGAGTTGGCACATGGTACAGGCTCAGTGGGTAGAGTCAGAGTTGGTGGCACCTTCTCCCTGGACTCCAGACCCAGGGCATCCACCCTATCCTGGGCCAGGCTCAGGGGTCTGCAACCCTTGGCTGCATCAACTCCCTACCGCTCTCAATGTGAGAGGCACTTGGCATGATCTTGTCTGCATGAGGGTCAAGGCAGCCCATATTAAGGTACATAATGGAGGGAGAAAAAAGGAAGGAAGGAAAGGGAGCCTCCACTTTCTAAGCTCCTGCTGTATGCCATACATGAGAGCTGTTTGCTTTAAAGGCACCACCTCCCTTCATCCTGGCATAAATGTATGAGGTCCATATTATCCCCATTCTACACATGGAAAAGCCGAGGCTCGGAAGTGGAGGCTTATAATGAGAATGAGCAATAGGATTTGGATTCATACAAACCCAGCTTTGAACCCTATTCTTTCCATCTAATCTTGGGCAGGTGACTCAACTGCTGTGAACCTTGGTTTCTTTATCTGTTTTAAAAATTATTAGGTGTAATCATACCTGAACCCACCTCTACCAGGGTTGTTGAGGGAATTAAATACAATGAGGTCTGTAGGTCCTCTACCACGGTGCTGGAAACATAGCAGATACTTTAAAAATGGCAGCCATTGCTACTAAATGCTATTGCTATGGCAAGACTGATGAAGAAAAATACGAAGAGGAGGAGAGGAAGGGAGAGGGAAGAAATAAAAAGGATAAAG